GAGAGAGAGAGAGAGAGAGAGAGAGAGAGATTAGGTAGCTATTGGATCCCTATTTGATTTAGAGTGAGAGATATATCATTATTCTGTATTGTCTCTTTTCATTGCAGAGTTCTGTTTTAATTATTTACCTTATAAGTTTATTTGATATATGCTCTGATCTTGTTTTTTTCATGTTATGAGCATTCCTCATATTGCCCAGTTCTTCACTAAGATGCACCCCCTCCCCGCTTGTAATCTTTTAGGTGTTTGATAGAATACCATGTTTAATGCATTGGACAATGTTTTGAGTGTGTAATTATATACCCCATTCTTGTAGTTTTGGGACATGAAATTTTTTATGCTACTTTAACTCAACTTTTGTTCTTAAATGGGAACAGCAGATTATGATTCACGTTTGGTCCGCAACATACATTGAATTACCATGCCCTACAGTATACTTCTATTTTAGTACGCTGAATTAGTTTTGGTGATTCATGGTATACTTTTGTTTTTCTAGATTTAAATACTTTGGTGGTGCCCAATACGTTTCTTAAATACTTGGTCAACAATGCTTTCTTTATTAATACTTTTATTACAGTTAAATACAATGGTATGAAATATTGGCACACAGTAAGCTTTGTTTTACTGAAAAATATGATGGTCATTTCAATATATTTTAGAAGGAACAACTTTAATTTTTCTGATGCTAATGAACTTCACGACAAAATAACAATATTTATCATGGGAAATGCACATCACCCATTATCCATGGTTTAAACCTCCCAACCTGATGCAGAGCGATCTGGGATCAAGTATACTTGTAGAGACGAGCAGACTTCCACTCTTGCAGCCTTACCTGCAATGTGTCTCTTGCCACCAACTTTTTCCATTGCAATTTCCCTTCACATTCAGTTCTTTTGCCAATGCGTTCTGTCTCAACTAGACCTACTTCACCCCCTTCATGCTTCAAAGGGCATTGTGCTTCAGATTAGAATATTTGAAATATTATAATGTAAAGGAATAGGCCTATTGTTGGACATGTGCTTAGTTCATATGGTTTATCACTTTGTGGATGCCTTCTAGTTAATAGTAGGTGAATTGAAGTCTTGTGGAATGTTCTAAAAGTTCTGAAACGATATTTAGCTTATTATCACTATCTCTCCTGTTAATGGATCACTTGTATGATTTCATTTATCTCTAATAGGCCAAAATATTGTTATAAGCTTTGTAATTTTGTTATCTTCCATTCCTAGGCCGTGAGTATGGGGTACAAGATTGATGTCCATAGCGTTATTTTTGTAAGATACAATGTGGCTGAGTTCACTAATGGAAACATCAATATAGATATTGCGACCTGTTGGGGATATACATGACGAGAGTGGGCAGGGAACCAAAGGGAGGTCGAGATGGCAGGAAGTGGACAATGCAATTCTATTTGTCGAAAATCCCCATATACCTGGTCATATGTCAGCATGTGGCCCCATTTATGAGGCTCTCTTGTGGAAAAGGATCTTAGGGAATTTGGATGAGCCCCAGGATATTCAAGGATGAGCAGGAGGCCTTGAGGCTTAAAGAAGCAGAATTGGTTAGTTTGTAGAGATTGTATACAACGAAAATACTCACTTTTGGTACAAGAAGGTCACAATTAATTTTAGACATTAGATGGGAAATCCAACAGACTGAAATACATCTCAACTTTTGAGAATTTTTTAAACTTTGTGCCTAATCAGTGACACATCCCCAGCCACCCGATTCACATCCAATTATTAATAATAACTGTGACCTTGTATAAAAAATAAATGGTCGACGATATACATATCCTAATTTGTATGGGGGCAAAAAGAAGCAAATTGATGATATACATATCAAATCCTCAATTTTTTTTCCAAGATTTACTGCTTTACTGGCTGTCACAATGACAGTTTATCTTAACTCTCTTGTGATCTTGTTAAATACATAAATTGTTGCCTTTATTCTTTACCACTCCTTTGTTTTCCTTTTCTTTTAGTTTTTTCGTTCCAAGTTTTTAAGAATAATTGACTGTTGGACTTTAACTGAGGGCCTCACCTGGTTTATCTTATGGCCTGTAAACTTTTGATGAAATTGGGGAACCAAAAAATCTAGAACCAAGCCAAGATGGTGACATCTTTTATGTGGTTTTTATACTTTTGGCAGACCTGCCTTACAACTTCCAGGTGCCAGTAAGCCTATTGTGGCTGTACGTTTCTGCCCAATCAGTTTTACTCTGAGGGGATCCAACTCAGGTAGTGTAATCCTCTCTTCATCTCAAGTTTTATTTCTCCTTTTTCCTTTCTTGCTCTTAAAATTTCAGAGTTAAATTTTTAGCTGTCCTTACCACTTTCTTGATCTCAAAGTTCCACAGTAATACTGATTTATGGTTCTGTTGGTTATGCTAGCTGGTTTTTTCAAGTTGCCATATCGAATTATTTTTGCTGTGGCCACCTTGAACTCCTTGTACATCTATGACACTGAAAGTGTTGCTCCTGTAGCAATTTTGGCGGGACTTCACTATGCAGCTATAACAGACATTGCATGGTACTGCCTTTTACAAACTTCCTTTGTTTTTGTGTGTTGCATGTGTGTGGCGGCTGTGCATGCATGCATGTGTGAGAGGGAGGAGAGAGGGAGAGGGAGAGGCTGCACCTTCTGAAATACGGGCTGAAATACATTCAGTGGTCCATTCAGACCAACACTAGAACAATAATGGTTGGTCATTCCAACAAAAAAACTCGAATATAGACTTTTCCTTACCAAATTATGCAAAATACCCTTCGAAAGTGTTTTGCTAGTCATTCCCCTCTATATATATTGCAAATTTCTTTAATTGATTATTTAGCATCCCTTGCTGGCCAGGTCTTCCGATGCCAAGTATCTGGCCGTGTCTTCTCAAGATGGGTATTGCACGATTTTGGAGTTTGAAAATGACGAACTGGGATCCCCATTATCTTTAACTGGTGAGTAGTTCCAATTCGTTGCTTTTATCCTGGGGATGAAGGTGATTTTCCTATGTTTTTCTTTCTTACATATTTCTTCTCACTGGATACTGAAAACTGCTTTTTGGGGTTTATTCTTTTAATTTCTATACTCCAATTTTTAGTTATTTTGGAATCCTCAAGTAATTTCCTGGAATTTTTAAAGGCGAGTAATAAAATTGCATGTGTGTTCTTTGAAAATAGGAAATTACCAAATTGTTTAACTAATGAAATGCTTGTGTCAAGCTGCTACAGAAGCCAAGATAGTTGCAAAAACAAGCGAAGAATCACCAGTGCCGAAAACTGAACACATGCAAGTTGATGAGAACCGTGTGACTATTGCTGTCGAGGAAAAGGCGAGAATACAAATATCCAAAGTTGAAGACAATGAACCCAAGGAAAAGAATGTAGAAATTAAGGGCTTGGAGAAACAGGGGGATCCTAGTAAGCCGGCTAGAAAGCGCATCACACCAGTTGCGATCGAGAAGTCATGATGCATGTAGAGGAAGGATGAGATAAAGAGGAAGAAAGAGGGAAAGGAAGAGATGGAGTTGGGGGTTAAATTGAATAAATTGTACAGCTCTTGTATGTTGATGTTTTGTTGTCTATGACCAATGCAATTCATATATATTTTTGGAGCACGCTTCTACCTAGTGATTGTTTCGTGCATGCTCAAAATAGTTGGGCTTCATCAAGTTCATGGGGTTGGGTTCTGATCCACGTCATGGCCACCAGAAGCCGCGACAAAAATTGCTGATCCGATTCGGAGTTGCCTGAGATCATGATTGTCAACTAGTTGATTCTAGTTCTAGGAACCAAAAATTCCCCCCAGTTCCCCAATTTTCAGCTTCTTGTTTTAATTTGTTTGTTAGACAGCCCAATCCAGCTCAGAAATTGCCTGAGTCAGAAGGGTCAAATTGGAACCGGACACGTGCAAATCAGGGCTCAATTCCAATTCTTGAAACATGCATCATAAGCATGAAGGTATGGGAGGAACATGTTTAAGGTATTTTTTGATGATTTTTGTGTAGTGGAAGTACGACTCATTTGCTGGTATGTAGATTTTTTTTTAGTTGTACTTGCATAAGCAAATAGATGGGCTAACAAGGTACATGAACAGATGTTTTCTTCCTTCACATCTTTTGTATATTTTTCTCAGAAATTGCATGACCAATGGGCATCCTCTGGGGGAGAATCAGCCCAATGAAGGGGATTAGGTCTTTTCTTGTCTGTTTTATGAGATTTTGTTGGACTGGTCGGGGTCTTTATGGGGAATCGACTCTTCTATTTTGTGACTTTTATCTCTATAATTTCATGATTATTATTTTTATTTCATAACAAATTGGTGATCTATATTTTTGTTTTAGCTTTATTTCAGGATTCGTTTTATATTATAATTTGGTTTGATGTCCTATGCAGAGAGAGAGATCATTGAGATACAGTGGTGATGCATGAATATGAGGATTAGTTTTATATGATGTCGTTTGATATCTTTTGCAAAGAGAGAGATCATGTCGTTTGATATCTTCTGCAAAAAGAGAGAGAGATCATGCAGTTTGCATACGGATGCATCTGTAGCTGTAAGGTGCACCTTCAAATTTTATCATGGTATATAATTTTGATGTAAAATATTCTTAGGATTATCTCAAAATGTATTTTTATATCTAATTGTAAGATTTTAAATTTAAAAAATGGTTAAAATCAAGTAGATCAATAAACATATGAAAATCTTGAAAATAGACTGTCTAGATAATATTTGCAAAATGAACTATTTTTGAGACCGAATCTTTTTATTTTTCATGGTCTACATCTCGATGTCGAGATGATCAATCAAAGGGTTTTTCAACATTAAAACCACCTTTTCCGATGGATTTTTAAGGTGCATATGTAGTGATACATTATAAGGTTGCATCCTTATATAAACTTTTTCCTTTTGGTAAACCCTAATATGGTGGGGATATTTTTCAAGCAAGTATCAAGTTGGTGGGGATATTTTTCAAGCAAGTATCAAGACCCCAAACTATGGACTTTCTAGTGGACAGCAGAAAGTTGCTTTCCATTATCTTAGAAAGCAGTTTCCTAGAGTCGTTGACAAACAAGATATGTGACTTTCCAGCGTGGTTAAAAACCCAGAAAGAACATGCGAAGAAAGCACTTCCCAGGAAACAAGCCTCATACTTAGGAAGCATTCTTTGGATGAGTACTTTCCATGAAAACAAACATGTCCCAATGACGGCATATAGTGCACGTGAGACGGGGATTGGGGCGAACGTCACCAAATTGGGAATTTATCCACGTTCCTACCGGGTGTTGATCAGGTCTTCGTCTATCATCATCATAGTCAATTTAAGGTCGTCTACACAAATTATGTTCAACTAAAATTTGGGTAGGTTTTGTCAAGGACAAGAGTAAAAGTGTATAGGACCTGGTTTCGATGCGGCCAAGCTCGCATATGTAGAAATGTTGGCCTATTAATAAATTTATTTTTGAGATCGATTTTTGGACTTAGTTTTAAACATATGTAATCTCTAACATGACAGATCATGAATATGAAAAATTATGTAAATTTTAAAAATTAGAAGTAATAATTCTAGAAAGAAAACATCTGGACCGTTAGTTTCCATTGTTTTTAGATGGAACACCTACTGGAAGATGGATGCTTTGTACTTTTTGGTCAGCATATGCAGTCATGTGGTCTACAGCTTGCATGAAACATGAATAAAATTTTCAAGTGTGTATATCTTGTGCAATTAGAATCATATAATCTTTTCATTAAATGAAAGCCCAGACAAAATAGTAAAATCTTAGGTCACTTTGAGATATAGAACAAGATGTTTTCCCTGGTTAGAAGGGAAAATTGTTAGTTGGCCCAAATTAATCAGGAAAAGGCATTGATGATTAGGAAAAACTGTTTTGCTATAATCATGTTAGTCGACTTTTATCAAAAGGACAAAAATCCAGCCATAATATCTTTGACCTTAAAAAAAAACAAAAAATATAATATAATCGCATGTGCTTATATTGTAGCATAAGCCCGTTGGAATAGAGGTGTTTGTTGGACATCTAATCCATGCAATCAAAGTAAAACGAAAACCGCGCAAAAGTTTTTGGAGAAAATGAGTTTGCTATTTTTTTTAGTGCAACTCATGCTTTCTATTTAAAAGACAGTCGATCTAATCCTTCAAAAACTCAAATTTGGTTTTTGTTAATTATTTATTTATTGAATAAAAGACGTGTGAATTTTCAGCCAATGGAGAAAAAAAAAAAGGTTCCCTTATTAAATTTAGTTGAGAACCTTATATTGTAGCATGTCAGTCGGCTTAAGAATCTTTTTCAGAAAAAGAACATTAAAAATAATTTTTCCATTATTAATATCAAGGAAACGGTTTATATGAGAGTGAGGCCCTAAACAATTAAATTAGGGTGCGTGTCAAAATTTATTAGTAGAGGATATTTCGATCCTGAGTAGCTTACAAATTCGATCATCTCGATCTCAAGATCTATGGACATGAAAAAAATAGATTTCAAATATTGGAAATATTGCATCTTGTAATATATTATTTAGACCGTTATTTTTTAAGATTTTCAAGTATTCATAGGTTTGCTCAATCTACACTATTTTTTAATCTTTAAATTTATAATTAGAGAGGAAGATAAATTTTCAGGCCGTTATAAAGATTGATGATACTGAAACAAAATATTTTGGCATTATTTGAAGGTGCACCTTAATTTGATTGTTTAGGGCCTCAGCCTCATACGAACCACAGCCTAATAAATGACTTCTTTGTTGGAAAATTGTGGCCTTCCAAAAGGGGACTTAATATGTGACTTCATGACACCTTCTCTTGTTTGAATAGCTTATCGAACAATAAGCTACATTAATGCAGGACTAGTGAATTTAACACAGTTAGTAAATATTGCATATTTAGCCATATTAGGAAAAGGTTTAAATGCCATATAGAAATACAAATATGAAATTATTGGATGCCAAAAATAAGATTTTGACACTTGAATTTCCGTTTGTATAGTATGATTCATATAAGCAGCCAGCTGAAAATAACAATAACTTGGCGTTTAATATTTTTGAATATTGCAATATAGGTTTCTAATCCCAGGCACATATACAAATGGGAAATAATTCGACGTCAAAAACAAGATTGATACTTGAACTTCGATTTGTATGGTATGATTCATATAAGAAGCAAGTTGAAATAGTAATAACTTGGTGTTCATTAAATTTGAATATTGCAACAAAGATTTTTCATCCTACGTACGTATGCAATTAGGAAATAATTTGATGCCAAAAACACTTGAATTTCCATTTGTATAGTATGATTCATATAATTCTACCATTGGCGGTCTCAAGCCAGTCATGCCGGTCCCAAGTCCAGATAAAAGAGGAGGGTTGTGTTAGATAGGGCCGACAAAAATTTTCATAAAATCTAACCCCATATAATTGGGATAAATATCAAATAATGAAAAAAATATAATGATTAATAAAGGAGCAAGTTGGTCTGAGTAATGAAATAAATACACATAAAACTTCTTACTTCATCATAAAAAGAGAAACATGGAAGGTCTTTTATTCAAGCCACTTACACCATGCATGCCAACAATACATACCAATTTCCCCCTGAAGCATCCCAAAATATCAAAAGTACCCATGTAAATGAAAAGAGTGCCCCATTTCCCAGCTCCTAGCTTTGGCCCACAGTTCCATTCATCTGGGAGCTACTCCGATATCGGAACAAATCAACAGGGGCAGTTGTGACAATTATTTTATTGGCCATGCAAAACCCAAAACCTTAGGCCTTAGTGGGGTGCGGGTGCATGGCGAGGGTAGCACTCAGACCCTTCACCAACAATCCCTTCCTCTCTCATCTCCACAGCTGCCTTCTCTCTCATCCCTTCAACAATCTGGCTCTCTCTCTCTCTCATCCCCTCTCCTCTCTCTACCACTCTCTCCTCGGCGAACTTCACGTCCTCGTCGACGGTAAGGATCACGGCCTCCTCGCCATGAGGCCCCTTAACAATGGCTTCTTGAACCTTCAAGTGGTCCTCCACACACACTATATCTTCCTCGGTCTCTCTCTTCTTCTTCTTTTTCAAGCAGCAAAAGAGAGCTAGAGAGAGAAGGGCCAAGAAGAAGAGGCCCCCTAATGAAACAAAGACCACTATTATGATAGTGGAGGAGTCCCCACCTGGTGGTGGAGGTGGGGGCTGATAGGGGGCCGGAGGTGACGGAGAGGGAGGGTAGTAAGGAGTTGGTGGTGAGACGGGGCGATAGGGTGGGTAATAAGGAGGAGGGAGTGCTGGGCTAGGTGGTGGTGGGGAGATGGGGTAGGAAGGAGGAGAGAGAGGTGGCGCTGGTTTTGGTGTTGGTGGTGGGGGAGGGTAGTCGGAGGGAGGGGCTGGTACCCATGGGGGAGGAGAGAGAGAGGGAGTTGGAGGGCTAATGTACATGGTTTTTGGAGAGAGAGAGAGGGAGTTTAGGAAAGATGTTTAGCTTAGGGAAACAAATGGGGATTTTGATTGATTGGATTGGGAGAGGACTTTAACAAAGGTGAAGAGAAATGGAGAAACAAGGGGTGTTCTTATAGGATGAGGTGCCTTCGTTTTTCTATCTTTTCCTTCATATTTTTTTCCTATTTCTTTGATGTATCTTAAATGAACATTTGTTCATACATCTCCTATCTTGCCTCACATGCTAAGGTTTTAATTACTTATTTTGAAGCTTGCATTGAAATACACTTCTCATTCAAAGAATTCTACAAAAAATGAATATAAATGAATTAAATAATGAACTTTTTTTTTTTGTTCTTGTACAATCATATGTTCACACGCACAAGCAACTAACCCAACTTGTGCTTAAACTAAAAAGCCTAAGCTTCTAAGACCCCAACTTGTGCTTAAACTGAAGAACCCTAAATTTATATGTTACCAGAGGAAAAGGAATGACAAGGGAATAAGGAGTCAGTGTTTTGTTTTTTTTTTGTATTCATTTTGTTGCCCAAAAACCTTTGTCAAATGTTTACTTGTATAAGCAACTAACATACTATATCTCTTAGAGCATGTCCTCTATCTCAAGGTCTTTTACTTGTATAAGTAAGGTTTTGATGTTTCATTTAGTTGGATAGTATAAATGTAATAAATCTTTAATAAAGTAAAAAAGTGACATGTATTTTGAAATAATATCAACATATCCTATTCAAATAAAATAGTGGTATATGTTACATCACTTTATTTTTTATTTCTAGAAGTAAAGGTGCAACTTTATATAAATTTTTTCGAAAATATTGTATAATACGAGACTATTTATATTAAGTACAAAAAAGTCACTATCATCCCTAGTTGTCTAATATAAAATTATACAGTTCAAGATAGGTCATAAAGCCTGATAAAATATTTTTACGACTTTGAGCCCAATCAAAAGTTCACACCGTTAGCGACCGAATTTCAAATTCTTTTTTATCCACTACATTTCACATGTAACAAGTAAGATTGACCTCCTTACACCAATAGTAGATGTTCTTATTATATGCTTTTCTCTAGTGTACAAATTAAAGAACCTAAACAACTTCTCCAGGCTTTGACTTTACAACCAAATAGGGCTCCTATCCACAACCCAAAGACTTGGATTGGATCAATGAATCATATCAAAGTCATGCACTCCTAATTGCACGCGGTCTTGATTCAACTCAAATAAATATGATAAAAATTCACAAATATAAAAATTACCGACTAATCTTCTATTTTTTTTTTCTTTTTTTGAAGCTAATCTTCTATTATTTTAATTTAAGAGAAATCACATTGGTTAAAAACAACATTTGTGTACAAAACGAATGTAGCTTTAGTATTTTTTTTGTCAACGTCATTGAATTCAAATGGTCACTTGCATTTAGAATGTTATACACCATATTTTATTTTATTTTTGGGAAATTTTATACACGATTTTTCTTTAAATGGAAGGTAGTTATTAGAGCTGTGGCTCTCTATACATTCACACTTCAAGTGGGAAAGTATTTTGTAGAGCCTTCATGCATTCATACTTCAAATACCGTTGGAAAATGCACTTCTGGAGGAGAAGAACCAGAAAATCAATCACCTCTATTTCAACAATGAGAAATAGATATTCGGATCTGATTAAATTTCCAGAACTACCCTTTAGTCCATATTTTCTGAAATTTTACAAATAAGGTCTTGTTTTATTTTATTATTTTTTTACTGTCTCCAATTTTGCCCTTGATTTTAATGTTGCAAATATTGAACTGTTTTTCAATTTTTTTTTATTCTATGGTATTTGTAGTGAAGTTCGATGCATAAGATATCAGACCACCTAATTTTTGAGGCGGTTTGATAATGGCAATATTGGACTGCCCTATGGTCGGATCTTTTCTTTTATAGGGGCCTCTGATAACCACCAATTAATTCTTTTATATGTAAATTAGAAAGAGTCCTATGTTTCAAACATTAG